TATAGTTCTCCGAAAATTGTTCCATTGTCAATCGATCAGCTTCCATCTTCGATAACGCCTTCTTACCCTTCACACGGGATAGAAAACTGTCTCTATGAAATTCTTCAAAAATATCTGATATATCACTACCACTAAAAGAACCATTGACCAATTCCAAATCCGACTTGGGTCTTAGCAATCGCCTGATTGCTTCAGGTGTGCTAGACTTTGCTGTTGTCTGTTCCATTTAAAAACAGAATATTGATCTGCTTCGCCTATCGATCAAACAACCAGTAACTATGCACAATTGTTACAGGCAAGCACCCGTCTAAGCCATTGCCCCGTGGTGCGGCCAGGACCGGCGTTGGGCTGCAACTACTGTTGGAACACGGTCGACAACCACGGCAGAATTCTGCGCCGTAAGACTAAGTACCACTGTCCCGAATGTCAAACGAATTTATGCATTGTTCCTTGCTTTCAAGAGTATCACGAGCGGCACGTTAGTACTTCCCAAACAGATCCTCTGGCGCTCACGACGTCGGTAATGAGGACTATTTTCCCGAAAACTAGCTCGATGTGAATTAATAAATTAAATTGAATCGTGTGGTACAAATAACAAATTGTGATTGTCGTGATGCTGTTGAATCGAAAAGAGAAAAGAATATATATTTAGATATTGAATTAGAGAGAACGATAAGGAAAGTCTACTTTTGTAAGAAAATTTATATCTGTTGGTATTGGATACGGCCTAATATTTCTACATGAGACAAATTGTCAGACTACCGCTGTGTGTCAAATTATATTCATTGCAAACGCGGTGCCATTCCATAGAGTGAACGTGTAGAGAGTTGTCAATCACTTTTGAGATATTCGCATTGGCAATTAGCATGACATTTGCGATTTTTACTTAAGAAGTAAAAATTGATTTTTGTTTTTCGCATAGAATATGTATATCATTAAATATACGTACTTCCCAAAAGAGATTTTTTTACAGTTGACCTTGAAGGGATGGCTATTGACTATTGGAGTTGAAATTGTTCGTATGTGGTGTTTTTTTTACCTCTTTCAAAAATACTATTATTTTTTTTTCAAAGGCCCTTGGGATAAAAAGGCTGCTTGATTCCAAGTTGGGAGGTAGGTTTAGTATTTCAAACATATTCAGAAACTACTCTTATAAGACAAACCGTGTTGCTGAGAATAAAGCACAATACAGTGCTCACGTTTATAGACTGCTACACATGATTTAGATATTCCTACCGTTCAATTTTTTCTAAAAGGGCTTAAGAGACGTATGTAAAGCAATAAATAAAGGGTATATTTTATGACATACATATTCAACGATTGTTAGAATTAATTTTATTTATTTATCATCAAGATTCAATTACATGTAGTTAATACTAATCACACTAGTGCAATAAAAAAAGAACTGTTCACGATCGTAATATCATTCCCATTATCGGTAACTTCTTTTTTTTTTAATATCTATATTGAAGTTACCTTCGTTTTCGCTGTTGTAGAATTAAACTTGTTGATAAATACTTTACAGTATTTGCTTTGAATTGTAAAGCGCGATTTTTTACGAGATTTGAGAAATTGTAACCCAATTGTGTTTTGTTATAATTCGTAACAAAATGTAGATTATTGTGATAATTTATGTTTTATTTATTTTCAAAACTGCAAAATAAAAAGCTACTCATATCAGGTTTTTTATGTTGTAGATTTTGTGATTTAATGTTTATACTGTAGCTGTAAGGATATATAGGGAGAGGACATGCTCACTTGTTTGCTAAAAAGCTTTATGGTTAACGAATCGAAATAAATAAATACTATTTTTCTGAAGCACATACAAAATATATTTTTGATGAGTGGAAGACTATTTTGTTAACGCTATTTATTGGTAGGAAGTTGTAGATTTTGTAACTGCGTTTTTATTCTCGAAAACCAGGATATTTCTTACAGAATTTACAACTTTGTCGATATTGTAAATATATTTTAATGTTAAGTATAAAAAAAACTTGTAAATTGGTGTTAGAAAGTGTGATAGTGTGTACCTCTAATAGTAGTTTTATTAGTAGTGTTCACAAATGTATGCTTTACAGTTAATGTTTGGAAAGCTAAAATTGCTGTAAAATTAGAGGTACAAACTGCAATTTCGTTTTACAATAGAAGTACCTGCCTTTCGGTTATGGTATTTATTCGCAATCTTATCTCTAAAGTTTGTTAACACTGAATTGAACAAGATTTAATTTAATAATTTGATTTAAGACGCTTGAATGAGGAAAATGTTTTATAAATACTAAAAAAAGAGAATCTTTTTACAACAGAATTGGAACTGATTGTTTACACAGTTAAGCAACTTCAAATTCAAATTGTGTATTTTGATAAAATAAAACTTGACTTTAGTGTCCTTCTATACTCATTTAATAATGGTACAAAAGATATTCTCAAGGGACAAACTATCACCTAAATTTTGTACAACGAGTAACCATATATGTATGCTTGGATTCACCCGACTTTTGATTTCCTCGAAGTTCCTGTCAATTATTTTGTGACGGAGCATGAGAAGTGCATTCTCCTTGCTTGCAGTGGGTCTATTTCGTATTTGGCTGCAGTTTTAGATCGCGTAAAACAAAATTTTTCGCCAAGCTTTCAAGACGAATATTGTGAGTTGTGTACGCCATTCTTAAGATCGTGTGAAACTTCATTGTTAAATTAGAAGTTCAAACTGAAAACTGCAGTATTGTCGAAGTCTACGAAAAGGTTTGTTAGATGTGTATTCCACAAATCGAAGTGAAAACTGTGCCGCAAGTTCGACAAAGTTTATTATCGGGTGCGTGTTTTTACATCTTATTCTTATTTGATTATACAAGGTGTTAATAAAATGACATTATAAATAAAACGGCAACCGGTAAAAAGATTAAAGACAATTAATTTGTACTTTCGTTGGCTATCAGAACCCTAAGTTAGCAGGGTAATGTTTTTACATTTCCGAAGGACGAAATCAGCTGTCAATTTGGAGAATATCTCATCGATAAATGTAGGTAAGTGAATTAAATTTTTTATAATGTATCAAAATATTAATCGACCGTTTTTTGGGATCGTGTGTAAGAAATGTGCACTTAAATCCTGCAGAGCTCGATTTACGAAAATTTGTGTATATTTTTTTGCGCCAGCTATTATAGTTGCAGACACTCAATATGTCACAATAAGGGGTACTGCAAATCTGCAGAAAGTTTCGATAACTGGTCCAGGAGTCGGCCAGGCACTGCTATTGCCAATACAAAGCAAATTTCTTCCCTCAAGTTCGTCAAGCCGAAGTACCACGATTCTGGTTCGGACTGAAGCCTCATGTCTAACGCAAATTGGCAAAGATCGGCTCTCCTCGTCTTACGCCGGTCGAGATCGCAGCAATCAGCGCTTGTGGACATCCAATCAAGTCTTTGGGCATGTTCTCGGTCGTCATCGAGGTCAAGGACCGACTGGCAATCTCCAACGTCTACGTGTCCATGGAGGGTCAGAATCTCTTTGGGAATCCAGCGATGGAAGCACTCGATCTCTGGGACCGATAACCAATCGCAACTCGCGGTGAAGGTAAAAGAAAAATTATGGATCGCATACTGGCCGGAACGGATGCAGCAGAGCTTACTTGGATACGTAATCGTCCCTGGTAAAGGAAAGGAGGACCACATGATCGCCCCCTCATGAGTGAGCGGCTCGAAGAGGCTGATCGGCGCCTGAACCATGGCAAGTGTATTCGAGCAACCGTCAATTCGCTTCCTTGGAAAAATTATTGATGCCAAAGGCATACCCAGATCCTGCAAAGTTGCAAACTATCCGGGACATGTCCAGATCGGACGAGGTTTCTCAACTTCATGCCTTCCTGGAAGCAAATCAACTGGTAGGGAAGTTTCATATCCCGCAACCGAGGATCACTGGCCGAGATGCTTTGCAAAAACGTCAAATTTCAATGGACAGAGACTAAAGACGAGGCTTTCGGAAAACTCCAAACCCAACTCTGCATGCAGATCTCTCACTGACGCACTACGATCCGAGGATGCCAATAATTGTGGCTGCTGATGGCTCTACTAAGCCGGTCACGTATGCACTAATAAAGTATGGCAACTCGACAAACCAACGAAAACTTTGCTACAGGACACTTAGGCAAATGTTATGCGGAATTATCTTATCTAAAATACATCATTTTCTACGAAAACAAACAGCTTTAATTATTAAAAGGCATCCACTCTAGATAATTACATCAATCTTTTATAAATATAAACGAAATATCTAATAAATCAAATCTGAACTGTCACCTAAATGAATTAACAAAACACATTGATAGCAAAAAATTAGACAAAATTTTCTTCTCCTTAATAATTCTAGCAACTAAACTTCAAATTCCAACTCGACATTGTTTACACAGCATTATCAGGGTGGCAATTTGAAAACTTACCACCGTATTAAAATGCAACCGGCGAACATAGACGAACTAGGACAGAGAATAATTCAAGAATGTCAAAATATTGCAAAATCAACATTTGAAAAGGTTCGACAAGAGTTTGAGAATAGATTATACTAGTGTCTTACCAATAAATAAAGGCCAACTTTAGGAAATGTACTATCATATTAGTTTATTTTTTGATTTGCACGATAATTATACTAACCTAAATGTAATGCTATTTGGTATGGTTGGAAAGCATTCAGAGCTTTCCAACGACGTATCACACATGGGGGGGGGGGGTCACAGATTTAAAAATTAAGGGGGGCTGGGACGCAGGGGTTTAGAGGGGGTGCGTCGCCAACTATGTGATTGTGATTCCCCCTCTGAATTACCGAAACGGATTGATTTTGATTTTTTTAAATATCTCGTTTATTTACTAAGACATGGGGGATGGCAAGTTTTCAAATTGCCACCCTGTATATTATAGTTATGATATGAAAAATATGAAATTGCAATATGGTGACTCACCAATGACGGTTTGAGAACCGCTGGATTAGCATCTTCCGTATATGGCGCCATCTGTTCGTTACTGAAGAACCTAAATAATTGTCAAAATTTCAAAACATCATAACACATTTTTGACAAATATTAGGTAACCAATTTTTCAAAAATACAGCAGAATGGCATCATTACTGCGACAGGTTGCGAAAGCAATACGAAATCCACAAATTTACAACCAGGGTTAGTAATGCTGAAATATTAACGAGAAATTGTGGTTAATTGGACATTTTCAGTCGGTGCGAACATCGGTCGTGGATTTTCTACGGGAACAGTTCGTTTGGAAAAGGTGGAGACGAGACGTAAGCCCCAAGCTACATAGTAACATTGAATGTACAAATTATTTGTAGCGACTGTGCGTAAATATAATCCACTTCTCAAGACCCAACTGACCGAGTTCGGGCAATACGTCGCGGAGTGTTTGCCAAAGTATATTCAGAAAGTACAAATAGCAGCAGGTGATGAATTGGAGCTGCTTATTGCACCTGAAGGTGTTCTTCCCGTAATGCAATTCTTGAAAGATCACCACAACGCACAGTTTGCATCCTTAGCTGATGTTACTGCTTTGGACGTACCCAGTAGGCAATACAGATTTGAGGTTATCCCTTTTGTTAGGTATTGATGTTCTAAAGTTTACTTACAGGTTGTGTACAACTTGCTTTCACTTCGTTATCAAGCTCGCGTTCGCGTGAAGACGTACACCGATGAATTGACACCTATTGAATCAATCTTTGACGTGTATAGAGCTGCAAATTGGTACGAACGTGAAGTATGGGATATGTATGGTGTGTTTTTCGCCAATCATCCAGATTTGAGACGTATTCTTACCGATTATGGATTCCAAGGGCATCCTCTTAGGAAAGATTTTCCGCTCAGCGGATATGTTGAGGTAGTATGCTTAGAACTGAGGGGCGATCTGCAGCGATACAAATTTGATTTGCAAATCGTCCCTCATGTAGAACCACACTAATCAAATCATATCAGATCATTCACAATCAGTGGATGTACACTTGTGTGGTTATATTTTATACAGTGTTGCCTTCTAGTTTCGTAAAATTATTAATTTGCAGGTACGATATGATGATGAACAAAAACGTGTGGTAGTAGAGCCGTTAGAGTTAGCCCAAGAGTTTAGAAAATTCGATTTATCTGCTCCATGGGAACAGTTCCCGAACTTTAGGAAATCACACAAAACGGAAGAAGTTCCTATAGATAAAAAATAAAGTTATGTACTTTGATTACAATGTGCAAATACATGTATTTATTGTGTAAATAATTATTTGTACCTGTAAGGAGTAATAATTGATGTAACGTATAAAACTAAATACTTTGGCAGAATGAATTATTTTGCAGAATAAACGGTTAATTCTGCTTGAATCACATTTAGATTGTACATAATTAAAACCAGGCATGACCTAATGAATTGGGTAGAAACTTTTAACCTCTAACGTTTGGGGGTTATTAAGAGCAATCCAGGATTCGATTTTGTGATTTCATTGGATTTTTAAGTTCTGAAGTCCTGGTAGTCCAAAAAAGTATTTTTTTAAATATTTCTGCATGTTTCCAGTGCATCGCAAATGGACGAGATAATCTGCTTTATACAATTCTTGAAAAGGGGGCGCGCAATGTGGATGTTGTGTTTGGCTTCAGCAACTATAATAATGATCGCTCACCCTGTATGTGAATTTCATTTATTTGTAACGTAAAATGTTGGTTGCAGAGACTTGTTATAACTAGACCGCGCGTAACGTAGATTTTACTATAAACGCCTGTTGTCAAGATAGGATAGGCAACCAACTGTTCATCGCGGGGCAGACGTGCGTTCTGTAGCTTGCTTTAGCCATGTTTATCCTAAATTTTAGTAGCAAAAAAAGATAACATATAGCTGTTAACTGTTTTAATCGAATTTATTGGTATTTATTTGAACTAAATTGGTATATAACTGCCTTACTCTAGTCCTAATTTGATTTATATGTGTATTTTGGTGGTGAACACGTATGGGAAAATATACTCTTAAAACTAAAGATGTAAGTAGTAAGATATGATTATTTAGCGGATTTTGATTCAATATAATGCCTATCCAAAAACCCAAATGGGCTGTAACTGTTATTTATTTTTCTTAGACTGCTGATAACCATTTTGTTTACAACGCGGTGTGGTGTGGATTGAATGAAAAACCTGAACACATTTTCAGCAATTTGGCAAATTTTTAATGCATCGCTTGATACGTGCAACAATCCTCCACGATTTATTCTAGTTAAAAGCTTTGAATGACTCTCTGAAGCGAATATCGCATCTGCACATATGGAACATTGAAGAGACTTAGCTATTTTTCTTGTAACAAAACCTGAAATATACTTAGTACCAGTAAGTACTTAGTCACGTCTATACCTAATAGGCAAATAGGTATTGCCGTTGTCTTGCTGGTAAAGGATGTCGAATAATAGTTCTACGTTATTTTAAGTGAATGGGAAAGTCGAAAACGCTCGGTATTGCATTATTGTTTAACACCTTCGTAGGTACCTTTCTAAAATCGGCTTCATTCCCCGCAAATCCACTATGGGAGCAAATTTTCCTCTTCGAATGGCTCTGATCCATTGGCCCTTTAAACTTTTATCCGTTGAAAATCAGCATATTATTTAAAAATGTATCGACAGAGTACATGTTGATACGCACAAGTTAACCTAAGTTTATTGGTTTATTCTCAACAGAAATTTATCTGTTCACTAATTCGAGCTAATGCTAATCACGAGAATGATTAATGAACGGAACATCTAAAATAACAGCTTATTTCATTATATTGCATAAATCATCTCAGCGATTTTTGCCCCGCGGTGCATTGTGTGTTGCATACTGTGTCGACAACACCTTAGATACGTTAAGCGCAGTCTAGTTATAGCAAGTCTCTGGTTGGTTGTAATTTGAGATTAAACACAATCTTGATCATATTAGTTGAATTCGAGGATGTTTGAATAACCGCCTTTTTATTTGTTTTGTTTTATTGTTCACTAGTAATAAAAGTTAAGGAATATCTGTAATTAATTTCGTGAATGTTTTGTTCTAAAGTTATCTATTGTAAATCCGGTCGTTGCGATAGGAAAGTTTCGTTATCGCTGCGCAAACTTATTATTAAATTTAGATAAGCAGGTTCCGCCGATAAGGTATCGGCACCAGTGCTGCTCTTACATGATCTTAAGAGCTGATACCTCTTGAAAGCGATTCGAAATGGCAAATGCTTTTAGAAATAAAATCGATGTTATCTTGAATTACGGATAACTTTGTAAGGAGCAAACCAATTTGACTGAAATTTTGTACAAATGGTCTTAGAGGTTGAGATTTTGGAAAATGAACGAATGGCATTATATTGAATTACGTTTATTTTAAAAAGTATGTACCTATTTGATAAATTTAGCTGAATGTTTTTACCACTCGCACGTTATAGTCTATTCCTATTGCATTGTTTAAAAGGGAGGTATTGCATTGGGGCAAAAAAAAAGCTCCCACTTATTGACGGAAATACACGTTTGAAGCACTGGAAATTGGAATCAAACAATATTCCGACGATGTCTGTCTTTAAATAACTTCGGTAAAAAATTAAAACGATTTTGCAAAATTTGTTTTTTTTTCAAGATATCTCCCAAAATAGTCGAATTTTTTTCAGTTTCAAAAAGGCCTTTTGTTAAGCATCAAAATCGTGTTGACGGAACACCCTGGGGAATTTTTCAATTTTTAAAAAATCAGGGGGGGGGGGAATAAGCACAGAACTGCAGAATTAAATGTTATTGTCAATCAATTAATTGTGCGTTTATTCAAACCTGTTGTGCGACCCGGATAGAGTCTTCATATTATCAGATTTACCTTTTCGCAACCAAAATTTACTTTAGTATTGTACGTCAATATTGAGATTTTTCTTTGTAGTAGATACCGTAGGCGTAAGTATGAGAAGGGATCCTAAAAAATTCCAAGTTTCAATTTTGATTTATTTGATATAGCTGTTTTGTGAGTGGTGTAGTTCACGCGGCACACTGTATACAGGGTCCTGCAAAACAGTACGTCGATCTTTCCCTAACTCAGATATCAAATATAGATGGTTACGCATCTATAAAAATTATTTTTGACCGTACAGGGTGTCACATATATTTTTGCCGTGTAAATAATTGATTTTTTAAATATAACACCCTGTATATTTTTAGCTATTTCAATGTCGTTTGGCCTTGACATTGAAACCTATCAACTATTTAATTTTTTATCAATATAGCCTTCTTATTATTTTTTACGAATAATTCCACATAAGCATAGATTAAAAAAACATATTCTATGACATAAGCAAGCGTCACTTTGATGAATCTCGGCTACCTTTTATTTTTTGAAGTTAAGAAATAAATTTGAGTAATAATGTTAATCACAGTGAAGGGCCAACTTTGATAATGAGAAAGTTGGATTTAGTGTAAATTTTCCGAATTTCAAAGCGCCATAACTTTTTTTTTAATGGAACCACAGATTTCTGTGATGGAACTATCATTATTTAATTTTGTTATTCTTTGGTCTTTTGTGTTCTCTTCAATTTAAATAAGGAACGTCCTGTGCCTAAACCTCGTACTTTTTTAGGTTATTATTTTTCACAAAGGCACCTATACAATAATTATTACATGTTCATACACCGGAGTAGGCCCGTGACAATAAAAACAAAAGAATGCTCGAAAGTAAGCCAATGTCACAAATTAATTATTTACTGCAAGTGTAGTTCCTGTTTCATAGATAATACAACTTTTTTTAAATTCACCTTTTTAATTAATCTTATGAAATAGAGTATACTTGCAACAAATGTAATTTTCAACACTTATTTTATTATTTATTAAGTTGTCGCTACCATGATCGAACTCCTACTGCAAAGATACATTATTTTATAAATTTACACGCTTACATTTTTAGCGCATTTAAAAAAAAAAAAAAAATGCGCTATTGTGGCCACTTCGTCCGTCCGTCCATCCGCTCGTTTTGAGACGCTACTAGTTTTTTATCTTAAGAGCTATTGTTCTACTTTTTTCACTATTTGGTTCGTTATGGTGTCGAGTCTTGCACCAAGGAAGGAATTTTTTCTGTACCGCTTACAAAAAGTTATTGTAAGAAAAACAAAAAACCGATTTTTACATGTTCCATAATTTTACACTTTTGCCGTTTATTAACGATCCTACAGATCGTTTATAATTTTGCATTGCTGTCTGTCGTCTGCCTGTTGGTCTGTCCGTCTGTTCCTTTGTCTGTTTGTCCCTCTATATGTCCGTGTGAACGATAACTTTGTTTAGAAATGTCCGATCGCTTTTACATCTCCGTTAGTTATGAACTGAATTGCATGAAATTCAATATGGGCATAGCTTTAGCCATGTAATACGCAATGCTAAAAGTAGAGTCGAATCGATTCAAAATTCACAGTGCCCTTTTCGCTTCTCGACCATTTATAAACCGAATTGCAAACTTTTTTAATTATAAAAGTATTTAAATGAAATTTGATACATAGACACTTGGAATAAAAGCAAATTTAACGCCAGTTTCAAAATTTGGTTTTGCGCATGCGCAGTGCCAACTTTCTTATTTATGGAGGGATTTAAATGAAATTCGATTCATAGTCACTTGGAACAATGGAAAATCTAAAAGCCGTCTTACACTATGCAATTTGTTGCGCAAGAAATTGCACAATTTCTTGTGCAAGAAATGAAGCACAAATAATTAAATGAAGGAATTGACATTTTGTCAAACAAAAACGCCAAACAGCTGATCTGAAAACACATGTTCAAGGCGCGGCGCACGCGCATTATAAAATTGCATTGAAACTTGCATAAAAAAATAGCACCTGTTCTATTTTTGATGCAATAACTTGTTGCAATGTAATTTTGCATGCAATTTCCTGTATGATACTATGCAATTTAATTTGTGCAATATATCTTGTGCAAGAAATTGTACAGTGTAAGACGGCTTAACGTTAGTTTCAAAATTTAGGTTTGCACATGCGCAGTTCCAACTTTCTTATTTAGAAAAGCATTGAAATGAAACTCTTCTTATAAACTGAAATTGAAGTAGCTCGTCAAAAATGGATTGCACATGTGTAACGCTATCTTTCATATATGTGGACGGATTTTTACAATTTTAACAAAAGTTGCATCTTACAAATAGGAAATGAATGCAAGTTGAAATGCGTTTTATGTAAATCGTTTACGATTACTTTTTAACTTGTTAACATATTGGGGCTGGTAACCAAACTTCAACCATTTTAAATTCTTCCAACGCACACTTATCTGCCCAAAACGCCATTATTTTATCTTACCAAGAACGCCTATCCAATTATTTTTCTGATATTTCAAAAAATGATCTCATTGTCGTCTTCGGTACAGGAATTTAAAAAAGCGAGTTCTGGCTTTGCCGGCTTGTTATAATAATGTATCTACGATATTTCAATGTAAGCTAAAAACACAGTAATAATTTATGAATGTAACTTTCGCTATCTATGGGATAAGGAAATGGATCGAGTTTAATAAAAAAAATGACCACAATTTTATTATTAATTAATGTCGTACTTTATCAGAAATTACTCGCTATTTTACACAATAACAAAAATACAAAGAACAATTCGACATTTCCTAATTTGCACTAATTCGCATTTTATAATCACAAGAAAGTTCTCCATTTAACGTTTTGTGTTTAAGGAATAAAACTATCTAGCAGATGCTGTACGTTGCAAAGTACAAAATGTGAAATTTCAACACCCATTAAAATTCTGATAACGAAACAATTCGTCTTCAATTGTTACATTATAAAACAACAAAATCATCTTCTGTTCATGAACTTTCAGTAGGAAAATAGCATCATTAAAAAGAGCGTCTATAGGTGAGGCGTTGGTTGGCGCTGGTACTGAAACTGCCTAAAGTAAATTATATAACAAAGAACACAATACGGTGTATGGTGGTTCACGTTTAACTGAACCGCAATTATACTACGAATGTGGAGAAATAATTAGTTGCCATGACTGTGAACGTAAAATGAAATTATGTGTTCTTTGTTATTATAACCCGAGATATTCACCAAAAAATACATGTACAGTAATACTAACCAGTGCACTACATTATACAGTTGCAAGTCCACTTCCCCCTAAGTAACTTTGATTTCAAACAAAAGTAGCGTTGTCACCATTTCATTAGATGTGTATGCGATACTAACACACTACTACAGATCAGGACTTCTCGGGTTAAAACACTAAAATCTAATCCCTCATCAGGTGGGAAATCTAATACAACCAACTTAAATAACAAATTCTGATCGTGAAAGTTGGCGAATTTATTTAAAGAAAAACATACGGAACAAAAACAATGTATTATCTTAATAATAATTATATTGATAAGTACAGAAAGGTCTAGCAAGTAAAATGTATCGTACCGATTACGGGAGAAAAAAACAGTTGAAATTATGGTTCAGTTTAAAAAAATGTGACAGACAACTATAAAGCGGTAAACTTACAGCTAGTCAAATTTGATACAAAATGAACTTATGTTTAAACTTACGAGTACTCCATTTCCTCCACATCTCCGTCAACTGCTACAGAATATATTTTCTTCAATTTTTCGTAGTGTTTTTGGTCCTATGGAAGAAGTAATCAATTAGTACAAAACATAATATATCCTTAACTCTGTAGCAATGAGTTTCAGTTACTTGTACTAAATAGTAACAATACACAAATGCGTGCATGCTTTTTTAAACTATAAAAATGTCCCAACAAATAAATATTATCCGTAATCTGTAAATCAATTTTTTTGAAATTTGGTATGTGAAGTGACTGTTGGTTATTGCACATCGAATTTTTATTTGGCACCCAACGTGGGGCACACAGCAATATACAGTGTGTCCCAAATCGGGTGGGATTGCATGGGTAACTTTGTTATTATTAAGGATAGAGAATTTGTTAAATGGGCAATGTTTTGCAGTTTTAGATGCTTATTTAAAATTTCCTTTTGGAAATTCAAAATGTCGCATAGGTTCGACGTAAATTCAAAAAAACTAAAATTGGTCATTTCCTTGAATGTCTTATATCATCGAAAGTATAAGAGATATAAAAAAAGTTTTATATAAAAGTTACTGTCTTTGATACGTTTAATTTAGAATTGATGTCAAAAAAAATTCAAGATGGCTACTTTTGAGGAACATTTACCAACTTCCTAAAGTTAAATAGGCGCCATATGGGATTTTAAGATTACTTGATAGATTTTTTAATTCTCTTTTCAACGAGCGATTATAACATAAGATTGAAAATAAGATACCAGTTATATCAACGGTTTTTTATTTTAGTTAAGTAGGCTGTGATGAATTAAAAAAAACAAAACAAAATCTATTCGAGGCAACAAAACAATGAAAATAATTACATCAGATGTATAACAAAATCCAGGGACGCACTCATGAGAGAGGGGGTTTGGGCATTACAACTTCCTCCAAAATTTTATATAAGCATTAGGTCTACAAAAATTTGATTTTTATAACATCACTTATTGACTTATTATCCATACTTACATACCTACAAATGGTGGTATAACTACAAACTATCCCCTCAAAAAAAGTCATGCCATTATCCAGTTAAAGACATTTCAAGACACTTCGCTTTATTTTACACAATGTATTACCATTGATGCATTGTCCCAGGTCAGATTTTGTAGGTGGTTTATCCGCAAGAATATCGAAACTAACAGTTTTACCAGTCCGAGCATATGGACAGATGAATCTTATTCTTCTAACTGCGAAGTGTTCAAATCGACATTATGAACACTACTCGTCACAGGAAAACCTACATGTTGTAGTTTCACACCAAAATCAAGTAATATTTTTTTAAATTAATGTATTTTATGGCATAATGGGAAGTCATGTAATTGGACCGGTAATCTTCGATGGATCTTTAACTGCTCACCATTATTTACAAATTCTCCAATAAACTTCCTTAAAGGATTTTTCTCGACAACGTATGTTTCGAAGGAAGGGTTAGTTTATGCTACCTACCAACAACTGGCTGCTCAGGTCACAATTCACGAATTATGTACAGTACATTAAATTATAAAAGTAAGTACTTAATTAGAAAATAAAAGTAAAGTGGAACTGGCTACCACTACAATAATAATAATCATCAATAGCAACAAGTTGCCTAAACTAAACTGTCTTGAAGTGTGTTTCACTAATAATGGTCAGTATTTTAAACATCTGGTGTAATTATTTTCATTGTTTTGTTGCTGGAATAGATTTTGTTTTGTTTCTTTTTTTATTCGTCACAGACTACTTGATTAAAATACAAAAACCGTTAATATAACTGGTATCTTATTTTCAATCTTATGTTGAAAAGAGAGTTGAAAAGAGAATTTAAAAATCTATCAAGTAATCTAAAAATCCAATATGGCGCCCATTTAACTTTAGGAAGTTGGTAAATCTTCCTCAAAAGTGGCCATCTTGAATTTTTTTTTGACATCAATTCTAAATTAAGCGTATCAAAGACAGTCACTTTTATATAAAACTTTTTTTTATATCTCTTACACTTTCGATGATATAAGACATTCAAGGAAATGACCAATTTTAGTTTTTTTGAATTTATGTCGAACCTATGCGACATTTTGAATTTCCATAAGGAAATTTTAAATAAGCATCCAAAACTGAAAAACATTGCCCATTTAACCAATTCTCTATCTTTAATAATAACAAAGTTACCCATGCAATCCCACCTGATTTGGGACACACTGTATTTGTTTCTATAAAAATTAACTGTCGGATAGATTAAACGGTAACACGAAATATTAGCCTCTTTCTTTCTCTAGAAACAATCTTCGTAGTTGCACTTTACAAGTAGTACTGTAGTTCAAGTTCTCTCTTTAAAAAAATTTTGTTGTTGCTGCGGTGAGCATAGCTAACAGTGCATGGAGCTTTCAGACAATTGTTTAAATATGACACTGAAACATAAAGTGAATTGTTTATATCAATTCCTTTCCATTGAATCTTGGCCTTTTCACTTTTGTAAAGTATGGTTGAACAATGGGTGCTAATTGGTAATCAATGGGTGACCTCTCTAAGGAAAAACAAATAAATAATCCCTCAAAACATCTTAATAGTACACATATTCAAAACAGGAGACATCTTCTATAAATTTCTTCATATCACGTTCGGTAATTGCTGCGTTTTACGCGCGATCATGATTTTCGTAAGAAAACACCATAACACTCCACTAACGGAAATCCAAACTTACAGTCTCTTACATTGCATTGTAGAATAATGCAACCCTCTGTTTGATATTGCCGCGTTTAGATTGCTTAGTGTTTTTTTTTATTGGCTTTATTTTATAGTTATTTTCCATTATTGACCTTACCTTTTCTGTTATAGATGGGCGAATTTTAGCTACTGCAAGTTTAAAATGAATAGTTGTTACAAGTGGGGTTTGTTTTTGATCAGTCTGTAGCATGAATTCTTTCAGTGCTTGTATACCAGCTTCCCTCACCAACGCAGAAAGATCTGCACCCGTGTATCCATCGCACTGCTCCGCTTTACCAATCACCTCCAAATCGACATCGGGTGCAAGTTGAGGTTTTGTGCCGTTCTAACAAAAGAAAAGTGCTACATTTAAACAAATTAATCAAAAGATACTACCTTTGTAATGGTTCTAAGTATGTCGACACGATCTTCAGCCGAGGGCAGGCCGACGTAAATAATTTTGTCCAACCTACCAGGCCGTAACACTGCCGGATCGATTATGTCGGGCCTATTCGTCGCAGCTAATAAATAAACGCCTGTTCGACTCTCGATGCCATCCATCTCCGTCAACATTTGGTTTACGAGCCGCATTGTCACGCCGCCCTCGCCGGTTTCCGACCGTTTCGGACATAGGGAATCTAGCTCGTCAAAGAATATCACGCAGGGCGCCGAATTTCGCGCCCTCTCGAAACACACGCGGACGGCTTTTTCGCTCTCGCCGACGTACTAAAATTTTAATGTTACGATGAAGAAGTTTGAAATGCTCGCGACCTACCATGTTGAGAAGTTCAGGTCCCTTAACCGATATAAAGTTGATACCGGCTTCGTTCGCAATCGCTTTTGCCAGTAGCGTTTTCCCACATCCAGGTGGGCCACATAGTAACACGCCAGTAGGTGTGGTGAGCCCTAAGGCGTTGAACTGATCGGCGTGTTGTATTGGGGCCTGAAAACAAGTTAGCAGTAGTCCTGGCGGTTGGTATCAGAGTACTGAATCTGTAGAAACTTAACGCTACACAAATACGTGTTCGCTTATGCAATCAACCAACAGGGGACAGCTAAGTTGATTAAAAAACATCGCCCCTTTTTTTGTTTTATATGTGCAAACATGATTTTTTAGTTGAATTCAGAAATGAATATGGCCGTATCCAAAGGGGCCCATGGCCACTCCCACAACAAAAATATTTTTAATAAAAATGTTACAGTTTTGATAATTCACTTGCCCTTCAAGTTTTGTTAGGGAAAGCTATTGTTATGTAAACGTCATTTAAGCGATATTCGGTCTAAACACCGAAAATAATAACGGGACACTGTGTATATAAGATTATTTCAATTTATGAAGTATAAATCTGGGAGATTATTTACATACAAGGTTGGTTTATTGCATTTGATTTTGTCTCAGTGTTGTTTTTCATTTTAGAAGTTTTGTACTTGCGTAATTCTTGTGTAAACTTGATCGCTTTTGTAAATTGTTTATTTAGATTATTATCGAAGTAAAAAGTTGAGTCACTACTTTAAACGTTTATTTAAAAAAAAAACTAGTGAACCGATTTTTATCAAACTAATTTTGTTTGAATTGTCATTTATGTATGTGTAAGTAAACATAGTTTCATAATTAGGATCGGTGCAATACGTTCAAAAAAACGCCATTTTTCAGGTCCATGAGAGAAAGTGAAGTAACTAAACGTTTTACTTCGATAGTAGTGTATTTAATTGTAAAACGTAAAATTGCGTGTTAAAATGTAGGGACATCTGGTCGTTTGCGATAAGGAGTTTTTATTAGACGAAATTTAATTAACGCACGTGTTCTTATCCCCGTTAAGAGATAACGTATTTCAAAAACTACACGTTATTTTTGGCGTGAGTGGGGACGCGTACTTTCGAAGCTGTTATCGAGCCCTTTCTGATTGGCGAGTTATTTAAAATTTTTGTTATGAATGGAGTTATTTAATGGTGGAAGTGGAAGTTGGATGCTAACTACCTGAATTATGATAAAAGAAAAATCTCAAAAATCATTATTCATGTGTTCACTTCAGGGGAAAAACTCCAAAAATATCCCAAAAGTGAATTTTACACATTTCTTAATGTGCACGATGTTAAAATCGTTATCTAGGAATTCCAAAGTGGATAGTACAAATGATGTACTTACGAGTGACTGAAGGTTACATTGTGCATAACCTCAAAATCCTCTATAGAAATCTGTAATGCTTTTGTACTAAACTGGGTAATAATTATAAACAAAATTCAAATGAATAAAACAAACACATATTTGTATAGAGGTGACCCCTATGATGGTAGACATATTTACCAGAATTGCCATTTGTAATTCCTCGCGTACATTTCGTAAGGAGCCGATGTCATCCCAGGTGACATCGGGAACCGTCGCGAAGCCCTCTCGTTTTGCAGATGGTTGTACTACCTTTAACGCGACTGCAAAATCGTCCATCGTGATGTGCAACTGGCTCAACTGTTCCTTGGTAAGAGGTGCCCTTTCGTGTAGCCACGATATTAATCCTTCCAAGACGCTCTCTGGAGGATGCAGTATTTGGAGAGCTTTCTGTAGTTTTTCAGAGTCCTCCTCGTTGAGATTTGGAGGGGCCGGAGTACTTTCCGTATCTGCCTTGTCCGATTTGGGATCGTCGTCGATAACAACAATAGCGTTATCGCCATTGCCTAGAGAGTCACTAACTTCGTCTTCATTTGCAACCACAATTGGTTTTGACGAATCCGCCTCTGCCTTTATACTCTCCGCATTTTGTTTTTTTAATAATAGAGCCTGCGAAGCCTTTTGCAGCGCCATAGCCTTTTCGAGCTCGCGTTTCTCTTTTATACTATTAAACACTCTAACAATACCCAATTTCAGTTGTGAGACACAAAAAGGTACAAACAAATTCACCTGTTAACTGCAGCCATCGCTGACTCCCTAGCTAAAGCCATCAGATCGGCGCCGACGAATCCCGGCGTGTATTTCCCTATACTAGTATAGTCAAACCCTTCTTCCAATTTTAATTTCGCCGTCAGCACTTTCAATATTTCTATCCTCGCGGGTAAATCTGGAATGCCCAAACAGACCTCTCTGTCGAATCGGCCGGCGCGCCTCAGTGCTGGATCGATCGTATCCGGACGGTTTGTCGCACCAATGACCAATACACGATTGCCATTTTCATTCTGACTTAAATCTGAAAAAGTACAACGATCAAAACGGATTAAAATACTATTCGATTGTTACCGTCGAGACAGCTCAGAAATTGCGCGACAATGCGGCGCTCCATTTCCTTTTGCGCATTTTGTCGATTGGGAATTATGGCATCTACTTCGTCGATAAAAAGAACACAAGGCGCAGACGTGATTGCCTGATCAAACAAGTTTCTAATCCGTTCCTCACTTTCACCAGAAACACCTCCGATAAGCTCTGGCCCAGCAATTTTCAGTAAAGGAATGTTCAATTCCTGAAAATAATGAAATCGTATTTTTTAAAGACATCATACAAAGGTAGAGTAGGAAACGTGTATAATATCTACAGATTGAAAAAAATTGTCATAATATCGGAGGTTCCCCAGGGTTTCAATTTAGGACCTCTTTTGTTTCTATTATACAGGGTGATTCCTATAGTACCTGCCACCGTTTGGGAGCGTGTAGGTGGTGCGTAGGGGAGTATTTTGATATAGGACACTTGGGGTCGGAAATCTAAAATAAGGGTGCCAGAGCCAAATTTACCTTCTGGAATTTCGCGCCTGTAGGTAGGCAACCCAACCGGCCGGCGGTGCACACGGAGCGATCTCAGGCGGCGATGTGTGGCTGACACTTGATCAGAATTTTGTTTAAACCCACGAAATCCCGTCTGCAACGACGCGTATCAAGTGAATAAACACTATGGCAATAGTATAATAATAGTTGGCTAGATGTAGGAAGTGCATTGAGAACAACGGTGGCCACGTTGAACACTTGTAAACGTTATTGCTTTTGACTGTCGTTTTCCCTCCTTCCCTCCCATGTCGCTTCCTCGCGCTAACTCGCTCTGCATCGCTCCGCGCGAAACGTCGGTCGGTTGGGTTGCCTACATACAGGCGTGAAATTCCAGAAGATAAATTTGGTTCTGGCGCCCTTATTTTGGATTTCCGACCCCAAGTGTCCTATATGAAAAGACTTCCCCTAGGCACCCCCTATACGCTCCCAAACGGTGGCAGGTACTATAGGAATCACCCTGTATAGCAACGATCTTATTAGCAATTGCTGTGTGAAAATTTGTTATTTGTTGATATTTTATAGGATAATATCATCGCACCACTCACCAATATTTTATATTCATACCGCCAATTCTGTCAAAGTTTGGTTTAAACGCAGTATCTATTGTGTGACAATTTTTGCTGTCCGTGAAAAAATTCTAAATGGGACATTATATTTTATTCGATTTTCAGAATCTACGTTAAGTTGACGATCGGGATATAATTGTAATATTCCTTTCCTGCTGCCCTTTTCTCTCATTACTTTTTGCACAAAGGGAAACGATTTCAGATTTCTGTAAAATGTAGACCATATTATTGGTTCAATAAGAAAATAAATGATTAAATAAGCAAAATTATAACGTTTGACAGTACTAATAACATATTTGTTTTTGCATGACTTTTAGAATTATTAAAATGCGCTTTTCACGATCAGACTGCTCAGACTGAAGCACAAAACAAGCTCTATTTGATATAGTTACCAAGATACAAAGCCTCAAAATTTAGATTCTTTAAAAATTCAGCGGCCTTTATCTTGAAAACGGTAAAAAATATTACAATCTAAAAATCAAATAAAATACAGGGTGTCATTTAGAATTTTCAAGGGGGGGGCTGTGAACCGCTTTTGTTAGGAACAATGTAGGACCCAATATTGAACCTTGAGGTACACCTCTAGAAACATCTCGTGGTTCGAACACCTTGTTATTGAACTTTACCATCTGAGATCAGTGTTTCAAATAAATAGAGAAAAAGTTTATATTATAATTATATGTATAATTTAATTGTTAAATTTCCCAACAAAGGTTTGCATCAAAATTTATTTCTATAAAAAATATTTTTTCTGCCATGCTTTTTGGGGCACCCTGTACCTATACCTACATTTTCTGTCAAAATATGCGTAATACAAAAACAAAATTGACAGGGTCAGGGGATTATTTTATTACTATTTAGTATAATTGCACAAATGGAAATCAATGGAAAAAATCAAAGTACAGGTATCACAGGAAAAGATTTTTATTGTAATTTCTTGAAAGTTACCAGAACTACCACCAAAAGGTAGAATCGAGTGGATGAACAACAAAGGAAGATGGATGCAGACATTCAGTCCAGTACTTTTGACTGTTGAGCGGCTTTCGCGCTATAAGATCTGGACGCGATTGTACTGACAAAAAAACATCATGTACAGGGTGAGTCAACGATTGCGCGGAATAACTTAATGCCTTGAAGATAAGATTTTTCAATAGAGTGCTTTTGTATTATAATATGGTTGAATATTCTCCACATTTTAAAAATATTTGGAATTATACAAGGTGCGCCCACAAAGTAGAGCGCCCAAATGGTACATTTTTTTAAATAGAACTCCCTGTATTTGAATGCATTTTTTAATTCTACGTGTAATTGTACGTCTTTTTTATTATATGGTTAAAATATCCGAAAAGCTAGTAGTTTTAAAGATAATTCGATTTTTAAGAAAAATTGGGCATTTGCAAGCGTCAGTATTGTCAAAATTATTACTTAAATATTGATTCCAGTCAAATAAATACATCTACTATGAAACATTAAAAATACAGTTTACAGGGTGTTTTTTTTGGTAGGTCGAAAGTTGCAAAACTTCATATTAAAAAATCTCACTTTTTTTAAATGGAACACCCCGTATATTTTTCTGCCATCATTTAGCTCCTCTAAAAACCTTCAACTTTTGATAATAATGTCCTATACCTCCTATATCTCTGATAGTTTTTGAAATATCTTGGTTTTCCTGGGTTTTATACTCTAATCTTAAATAAGTTATATGTAATTTACATAATAGTGAGGTAGCCATGCAAAAAAAATTATCAAAGTCCTCGTGTGAGATCGAAGGGACTTCAGCGCATTTTTGTGTGGCAGATCAGTGTTTTATTAGCCAATATTGACTCCACCATCAATAAGATCTTGCCGAAAGCTACCACGTTCACTTTGTCGGTACCATTTTCTCACTTACCGTGCACTCGCAATTCGCGTTTGAAGTTTTGACTCCACCATCAGTAAGATCTCGTCGGGGGTTACCACATTCCCTTTGTCGATACACAGTTCCGACGTCCCGTTCATTCGTAATTCCCATTTTGGTAGATTTCGCTAAAATCCCGGCATAAAATCGTATTCAACTTTTGGGTACTTCACATAGCTCGACCTTCTATTATAATAATAATAATATAATAATATAATAATAATATATATATATATATTGTGCAGACATGTTGATACATTTACACTCGTCATTAGATAAAGAACATACACTAGCATATAATACAACAAACATAATAAAAAAAAACAAAAAAGAAAAACATATATAACACAGAATGACTGATACAATTACGAAACACTCCAACAGAAGTCGTTAAACTCATCAAATGAGAAAAAAGGGTGTTGAATAAACAATTTTTTTAACGTAATTCTAAAATCTGAGAGGGGTAGCGATCTAATCTTTGGAGGAACTATATTAAATAAAGATTGCGATTGGTATGATGCACCATTTTGGCTCTTCAACAATCGGCAAAAAGTCACCCTTAAGTTATCCCTTTGTCTAGTGTTATATGAATGCACCTGGGATTGTAACACATTCTCCACCATATTTTTCTTACAGAAACACAAGGCCTCAAGAATATAAAGACTTGGAAGAGTTAGAATCTTTAGTTCCGAGAATGATTGACGACAATCATCCCTGTACTGTAGATTGTTAATCACGCGTACGGCCTTACGTTGGAGGCGAAAGATGAACTTCCATGAAGCACTATGACCCCACGCTAGTATTGCATAGGCAAGAGTACTGTGAATCAATGCGTAATACGCGGAAAGCATAACTGCTTTTAACGTACTACTGCGCAGTCGTTTAAGTAAAAATATTGACTTATTCAGTTTGTATGTAATATTATCACAGTGTTTGTTAAAGTTAAGCTTGCTGTCAATAAAACATCCAAGCAGTGATACACCCGTAATACAATTTGAAGATGTATCGATATTTTTTAACGACAACGGTAAAATAGATGTCTTGCGCTCATTCAAATTCAATCTATTACTGACACACCAATTCGCAACAAGTTTGATACTGTTTTCAACATCCCGGACTGCTGCATCGACATCTTCACTGGTTCCAATTAATGTCGCGCCATCCGCATAAAGTATGCAGTCGATATTTGGTGGCACCGATGAAGGCAGGTCATTTACATAAATTAGGAAAAGAATAGGGCCTAGAATAGAACCCTGAGGAACTCAATGTCGTAGGGGCAATTTGTTCGATAGAACATTATTGAATATTACGCGTTGATGTCTTCCTTTTAGATACGAGGATATTAGTTGAACGCTTCGTTCACCAAAATTGTACACAAACTTTAGTTTATTCAACAATATTTCGTGCGAAACGCAGTCGAACGCCTTCGAAAGATCAACAAAAGCAGCCACTAAGTGGCGACCCTTTTCAAAGCCTTCCAAAACACCGTGCACAAATGTGGAGATGGCATCAGACGTACTTCTCCCCTTACGAAAACCATACTGTTTATTATAAAAAAGATTATTAGTCTCAAAAAGATTTGCAATTTGCTTATATAGGATCTTTTCAATAATTTTACTAAAGACAGGTAATTTTGAGATAGGCCTATAGCTATTCAAATCATCGGTACTATTTCCTTTTTTAAAAATCGGTACAACCAGAGCTAATTTTAAACAGTCTGGAAACACGCCTGTGATAATGATCATGTTAATAAGCCTGGTAAGTGGATTTATTAATATGCTTATATTACGTTTTATTAATGGGACATTAAGACCAAAGATGTCTTTGGAATGTCCATTTTTCAGGCTAAGTATTGCATCCCTGACTTGCACTTGGGAAACAGTTTGGAATTGAAACGCAACAGAAGTAGGTGCAGTTACATTGCAGTTAGTAATGGGATCTATAATTGCGGGTGGCATTTTTACAAGTAATTCGAGAGTGATATTAGTAAAGTAAGAGTTGAACTCATTCGCAGAGAGAGTACATTGTGGTTCGAAATTTAAATTTCTATGCGAATTAATTATCGACCACATTGCTTTTACTGGATTACTTGCATTGTTGATAAAGTTGTCATTGGACTGGACCTTGGCAAGTTTGATCTCTTTGGCGTAGATAACACGTAGCGACTTTCTTGCTTCAAAGAGGTTACGTGTACGGTACCTAGAGTACAGTTCGCAAACCAATTGTAGACTACTTCTTAGCTTGCGTAGCTTATCCGAGAACCACCTATTATTGCTGCTGTTTCTCCTTGTAATGGACTTCAGTTCGGGGAAGCATGTTTTAAAAGAGTTTATTATAAAATTTAAGAAGTTTGAAAAACTACCGTTACAGTCAGTTTCGTTAGACTTGAACACATCCTCCCAGTCACAGTTTGATAACGTATTAAAGAATAAATTCAATCCAGTATTAGTTAGTGGACGTTGAACCTTGATAATAGAATTATTATGAGGAGGATGTAAATCCATCCCATTCAATATAATGTTCTGCCCTAGGTGGTCTGATAACCCGATATCAAGTGTGGTTGCAACATAATCATCTAGTGAGAAGTTAATAAAAACGTTATCCAAACAGTTGTCACCTCTGGTAGCGTCAAATATTGTCTGAATAAACCCGTTGGCTTTGAGGAATGCACATAACATACTGGACTTTTTATCAACCCCGAAATGAACATTAAAGTCTCCCAAGAGTACAATATTAAAATTCAACAGTTTATCGAGCACCAATTCTAAGTTATTAAGAAATAAGTCGAAATCGCCGCGGGGCGATTTGTAAAAACACACAACTACTGTTTTAACACTAATCTGTACACAACAAAGTTCACAATGAAATTCGATGGAAATATCATTTACATATTTTAATGGATTTGCGGTAATGTCCGGTTTAGCCAAGATGAGAACGCCACCATGGATAGCTGAGGATCGACAATAATAGGATTTCACTGACCAACATCCAATCTTCAGAGAGTCAAGGTGATCCGGTTCAATAAACCAGTGCTCACTGACACATATTAAACTAAAGTTAGAGTCACAGATAAAGGCTTCCAAAGCGTCAAGTTTGTTTGTTAACGATTGCATATTAATGTGGAAAATGGAAACCATTCCTTGAGTCCTAAAATTGTTCACACCATTGTGTGTTATGTATTTGGCGGTGCCGGCGGTTTTCGGAAGAAAAAACGGTTGACACATGTGCCACTTGGCCAGATTTGGGGGTCCATAATTTTATCTAAACTTTTCATGTTGACAGTTACTTTAAATGACGAGTAATACATCGGAAATTTAGACTCGAGCTTTTCACATGAGACATCCGGGAACATGGGCTGCAGATAGTTCGTTAGTGTGTCTTCCGAAGTGGATGGATCCAATTTATATACGTGTACATATGCCTTCGAGATTGCTGCTTTTATTAAACATGCGCCTTCTTGATCGTTGTTACCAACGATTGGAACATTAACTTTCCGTTTCTTCTTGAGAACGGTTGCCCATTCATTTGAGGAATCGTTGGTGTTTCCTAGGTTTTGAATAATATCGGAACCAGAAGTTACGTTACTAGAACTACTGCTTTTGGAATTAGCCGCTTCAACTGTTTGTGACTTTTTCGCTCCCGCCCCATCTACTGCGGGTTTGGTCGGAGCAATTTTTGGTGAGTTATTTCCACCTTTGGTAGATAGAGCATTCGCATAATTTATTTGGCGTAAATTATCTTTTGCCTTTGAATGAGAAGAAATGTTATCACTGACCTTAACATTGAGCGATTGAAATTTATTTAACAATAAAACTTGATTTTGCAATGATTTAATTGTGATGTCTTGGTTAACAATCACTTTGTCTTTTTCAGCAATTAACTCTCTTAGAAATTTAATTTCAAGTTCAAAAAACTTATTGTCAACATACCCGTTATCGTCCACCAGAAGAACACTATCACTATCACAGCAATTTACATGCTTGTCGTCTATGATTTTAGCACTTTTCAGTTGCTTGGCACATCCAGGATGAAAAACTGCGTTACACTTAATACACTTTAAATAAACTTGAGGAGTCTTAGAACAACGTTTACATAATTTGTTAGAGCCCGGTTCCGGCACGTCCGCACCGCCTGGCGTCATGGCAGCAATATATATTAGTGACACGAGAAAGAGAGGGCGCCCAAAGTCGACTACCCCTCGAAGCGCGCCGCGCAAAAGGTGGTTTATTTCGCCCCTAGGAAACAAAAACAAAATTCCACCACGCAGGAGTTGTGCGCGTTGACAAGATCTTCCCGACGACACCAATTTGAAAACAATCGGAGAAAAACTGTAGAAGAAGATAGATAAAAACTGAAAAATCTCCAGGTTAGTATAATACGCTCGGGGATGGCGTCCAGATGTCGTCGACTCCAAATCTTGTAGCCCCATCCCTAACGTTCTTAATTACACGGCCCCGATAGTTACATGTACACTCCTTGTCTTTTTACAAGCGTTTTTCTACGGGCGCGCATTTACTGCCAGCCAGCCAGCCAGCCAGCCAGCCAGCCAGCCAAAGTGAGATTAAAAGCTACTTTTTACAAAAAAAAATTTTTGCAAAAATGCGCTAAAAAGGCAATTTTTATCTATCTCGTCCAAAACGAAAATCATAATCGATTAATTTATTTTTCAAACAATTTATTTTAAGTCCAAAAACTGGAGAATAAGTAAAAACATTTGACTACAAAAGCAAATTTAATTTAACTCCTAATGTCATCCAGTCAGTGATATTAGTTTCATTTTTTTTTCATATTCACCTCGTTATTAAGTATATAAATTAGAACTTATTTCAGATTAAAATATAAAAAGTAGAAAAACCAAGATATTTGTTTATGTTTTTACTATCAAATTTATTCTCCAGTTTTTATAGACTTAAATGAATTATTAGAAAAATGAATTAATAAATATGATTTTAGCTTTGAACGAGGCAGATAAAAATTGCCTTTTTTTGCATGGCCACCTCACTATTATGTAAATTACATTTTTGCACTCCTTCGTTCTAAATCGCGTTTTCCCAATAAAACACGAACGTCGGGAACGTCAATTTTACAATTGACTATCTACTTTCGCGCACTAGTGCCTAAAAATTCAACGAAATTATCTATTTAGTGCGGATCATAAACTAAAAAGTAGTATGATGGAAGAGTAAAAAAGAAAAAATAAATACACTTTACATCATTCCCTGTAGTCGACGGGCAAAAATAAGCGTAAACCAGAAGTTTTGAACAATAAATTGACATTTTAAATTTCTACTTTATCGGCATAGAGGACTTAATTTTTTCAAAAGAATTATAATGTCGCAAAAATCTCGCGAAAAGGATTTGAATTTATATACATTCGATTTAACTAATCCGTGCAAAAAATGTTACGTGCGTGAACATGTGCCAATTTTGACCCTTATTTATGTGTGAAGAAAACGTACAATTATTGTTCTTTTTTTTAATGCTTTATTAAAATAAAAATCTAGAAATGTTTCAATTAGTGTATCCACTAACCAATTAAAAATCCATATATTAGTACCACAATTTCACGCAATGTGTCAGTATCATACCTTAAAAATAAACAAAGATAACACTAGTTCAATATACAGTGACTATAGAGTATGGTCATACAGTGGGTGTTATTTTCTATTGGTAGGAGACGTGCCATATGTTACACCGGATTGTTGCAAATTAAGCTGGAAACCAAAGTGATGAATTTATCTTGCTGAACACAATTATTGTGGCAGCATTATTGTAACCATATCAAAATCTACTAATTCGGTTAAACCAATCAGCTCAATGATAAATTGGAAGAAACATGACCAACATGGAGCATTATGGCCACACTATCTAGACTAATAAAAAGATACAATGAGGCCTCCAAAAATGGAAATACATTGAAGAAACCAAAAAAGTATAATACAATGATTGTAGTGTTTTCCTCACATGGAAACCATACTTAGCACAAGGAAGACCCTTTTATCATATTTTCTTAGGATCTTGTATTAAAATTAAGTTTCAAACTTGACATTTTAGTTACTTCACATATTTTTCTTCCCCCATGTTATTGAGCTAGTTTATACCTTGGAATCCAAATTAAAATTAGCTTTCAGAACCCCAGCTAAATTGATATGAACTCTTACTCTATCTATCCTACTCTACTTGCACAAAATTTCATAAAATTTTAAGTAGCACCCAATTAAAATAGAAGAAAAAATGTACGTACCCCAGCAATGGCGTTAGCCAGAAGCGTTTTTCCACAACCTGGTGGCCCATGTAGCAGAAATCCCCGCGGTGGTGTAATCCCAATTTGCTTGTACACTTCCGGATGACTTACATGAACCAATAATTTACAAACGTGTTCCAAAACTTTATCTAAGCCCCCTACATCCTTAAAGGTAATAGTCGCCGCTTGCAACGTAGAAATCGGCTTCCGCCTCTTCATTGTCGGCTGTACGGGAGCGACGTTCTCCTTAAACTCTCCCTTACGCTTTTTACCTCGTTCATTCTCCTTTTCCCGATTGTTCTCCTGTTCGGTATTTGAAACAGGTTCCATTTGCATACCTCGATTTAAAGTGATGGGATTGATATTCTTTTTCGTCGCAGTAATCGAGACGGGGTACAAGTTGTGTCTCGGTTTTTGGGACGTCGACGCTCCATTTGCCGGTCTGGCATTTGATGGGGTCGTGTTATCGTTCGAATCGTCGCTACTTATATCGATTAATTCGTTATCGTCTAGCGGTTTGCGAGACTGTTGGTTGTACATGTCGAGCAACTGATTACTCAAATAATCCCCCTAAAACGTGACGCTAATGTGAACGGTGCATTAGACAAATATACGTACAAACTGTGGCTCTTCCCCTGCGCTTTCTTCCGTACATTCCTCGGACGAGGAGAGATTCTCGTTTAAGCCGTAATTCTTCAAAACAACCCCGTAAGCTTTTTTCACACTACTCCGGAATGGGATACGTTTGCGTCTCGCGTAATCTTTGTACATCTTTTGCAGGTCATCTGCCATAACGTCGATGTCAACGTACGTTTTATTAACATTGCTCTCGAGGTACTGCAAGTAGTTTGTTAGTTAAGGAAAATACGTTTGGAGGACTACCTTTTGCACTCTCGGGACAATGCTAGGATCTGAAATGAAAGGGCCCCTAGGCATTTTATTGTTCATGATTAAAGTCGGAATATTACTCCTAGGCCTAGGTGGAATTTGTGGATTGTTTACAGGCGGTACCTCATATTCATCCACGGGAATGATTTCTAAATGAGGAAATTTTCCCATCACAAAATTACCGAAATTATAAAGATCTCACTCACTCATAGCAAAAGAAACGAACCAATAAAAACGGCGTTTGTGCTCGATATTAAAAACAACGTGTTATAAAATCACTAAACACAAAACTGCGCCAAATGCTGCTTCAATTTCTTCAATAAAAGCTACGTGTGGTGGTGTTTAACGTAGCTACACATACAGGAGAATTTTAAATCGGGCGTTAATAATTTCAGTGTTTATGTACCTCGTAATTATTAAACGAAAACAAATATACAAAAAGTAAACTTATAGAAAAGGATACAATTATTTCCTGTATGAAAGAAAATTAAAATTCAACCAACCATCTTTAAATATGACGATGTTGTTCACAATTTTACCAACATGGCTTCTGCTGGTAATAAAATTAACGCGGGAAATTTTCCTATTTTGTTTTCCTCTAACCCGAGCAGATTTTTCTTCCGTATCTGTCTATTTATTAGTCCCTTTTTAATAAGTCGCTATTTATAACCTACGAGTTTTTTATGCCTTAGATCATGTTTATATGATCTAAGTTTTATGCTGGCACAGGCAAAGTACATGCACCCGGCACCGTCACCGTCAGCTAATAACTTGTTACTTTTTGTTTGCAGTGTACCGGGTGTTGCAAAAAGATTGAGGATTGTATGCATTTGACACAGAACAACATAAGTTGGAAACAAATGACGATCAATGGCTTTGTCTTTTTTGAATTTACAAGCAGTGTATCTATTTCGCGTTTGCTGGTTTGATACTGTTCGTTTGATCCTTAAAGCTTCTTTCACAATGCAAGAATTAGCAATTACCAATTAGCGCGTACACTTAACGTAGGTATACCGGTAGAAGTTTGACATACCATAGAACATCATATTGTTCACAATGGAATCAATTAGAAATTACACTTAACGTAGAAGTTAACAAACTCCAAACTTCTGCGCTAATGTGTACGCCAGTGGCGTAACTACAATGCCTCAAAGGTACGCAATGAGGATGGGCCCCGACATAAAAGGGGCCCTGGAAAAAAATGTACAAAAATTTAATTCGTCTATACAAAATCCTGAAAAAAATTGGAAAAAAACGAAGGGCCATGCACATGCTTACTTTTACAGTTTATAGTCCGAAAAAAATTCTGAATCATTGTTCATGGAGGGTAAATAAATAATATTCCAAAGTCTCTTACACAGTGCCGGTTTACCGGTTAGGCACAGTAGGCACGTGCCTAGGGGCGCCGACCATTTAGGGGCGCCAGCCGCCAGTGCCACCACCAGGTATCGTACGCCATGAGAAGTACGCACACTGAATAGAAATTCCCATAACGATGTGCTTACGACTTTTTAAATTTAATTCCTTAGTGGTGATCATTTTTTACGACAAAGATTAACAGTAATTACACATTCATTTTGAAATGTGTACATTTACCTAATACCTATATAACAGGATATGAAAACTGAGAAGCTGCAATTTTTGTATCAAATTGATATACGTAATCGCAGTGCGAGACTACTATGAACTTTTTAAGAAATTCTCTCGGCAGAATGAGACTTAAATGAATTGGCACTTCTACACATGAATAGTGATATATTAGACCGCATAAATGTTGAGGAAATTTTGGATAAATTTGCTTCACAAAAGGCTAGAAAACAAATGTTTTAGAGAACTATGACTTTTTTATTATTTAAAAATACCTTTTTCGATTCAGTTTTAAAAAATTATTATTTTTTGTTATCTAAAAACGCAAATAATTTATTTTTCGTGAAATATTATACTATTCCATTTATTTTCTATTAAAGACTAATTTTTTAATAAAGGATTTTTTTAGGTGTCGGGTGGGCGCTTAAATGGCTGTGCCTAGGGGAGAAAATGTTCCTAAACCGGCACTGCTCTTACATAAAGTACAGGAAATACTTTGTTAATTAGCGAGACCTTCTCCAATCCAGAAGGTATCTGGAGGTCCTGGATATAGTAACCTTAGACTGAAGTTGTATTTCTAGATGAATGCCGCTAAGTAATTTTAACACTCCAGCATTTACCTCTGCACAAATTAGCAGACATTTAAAAAAGGGCAGATTCATACACAAAGAACTGAAGTCGCTTATCAAACTAAACGAGTTTAAACATCGAAGCAACTGGCCAATATTAAACAAAATAAGGATAGCATTTAAAGTGAAACAATTAAATAACAAACAAATTCAGGGGTTACGCACCCCTAGTTACAAATAGTGACAATAAAACGAAGAGTTACAAATAAAATTAAGTACATTACCTTTTGTTATGGCACAAATATTACACAAATCTTGACAGTTAAGGTTCGAACGAAATCAACTGGATTCTGACTGAACGCAGTGACGCAAAATGTTACAATGGATCTGTGAACCAATGAATTACAAAATGCAAAATCAGCAAAGTTAAATCAAGACACTATTTTCTACATATACAGATTAAAATCGTTTGAAAATTGTTGATATAAGGAAAGGGCCCCCAAATATTTTTGAAGACGGGCCTCTAAAATGAAGTTACGCCACTGGTGTACGCTAATTGCATTGATGTCATGCGCACGATGTTTGTATTTTAGGAGATCTGTTTAAATTCTATCATATGAAAATTAATAAACCCGTTTCGTCGCCACGTGGCAGGTATGATTATTTCCAGAAACAAGGTGACAAGTGTACTAAACGTAAATAAAGGTGGTTTATTTATTTCAAAAAACGCTGCTGTTGGTAAAAAAAATGGAAACTTATGTTGCTGTACTTAATTTGATACCTACAGAGGGCGTTGCTGTCAGTCCCACAATTAACGAGCTAATTTCTGCGGATATTTACTAATTGTAATTGCTAATATTTAGTTTTACGTTTTACTTCACAGTACAGTAACACGGGAATAAGGTCTACACAGCAACGCTAAATCGCCCCACCGTTCCATACATTGCGCATGGCTGAATATTTTTTCTTTTTAAACAAATTTAAGATTTTGGTATCTTTGCTAGTAACAGCAATTTTTTTTGAAATTGAAAGAATTCTTAATGAATAAAAGAATGTTCGCACTGTATAAGTTTTGCATTGCCACCCACCCTCGAGCACCAGTGCTGGCAGTGGAAGTGGCAAAATAATTATCATCTTAAAATTTGTTCAAATATATGCACGTGGTAGAAAACATCCGTTCAACCAAAGAACTATTTGGTTCAACGGAGCAATCGATCTTTTTGTGACGAAGTTACCTACACAGACAATAAATATAAATGTCTTGAAATTCTTCACGGACATTCATGTGTTATTCTGTGTATTAGCCCTTGAATATTATCTAATGGAATACATTTCCGTTTTCAATTAATGACCCCAAAGAAAAAAAATTGCTGTGGCTAGCACGGATACCACCCGCACAGCTGCGCATGTACGATTCTGCCCTTTGATGTCTAAGGATAATATGTGTACCAAATTTGGTTTCAATCGGTCCAGCTGTTTAGCCGGAAATAAAGAGTGTACAGATCGACAGACAGACAGACCGACATCATTGAGATCTTGCTTGATTCCGATTCCTGGTGCTTCAAAACGTGTATTTTAAACAGTTAACTTCATTTCTTCAGTCAAAGAAAAGTTAACAATTTTCTTGTTAACAATTTAATGACGTTGATTAATGGAATTGGCTTATCGGGATATTTAGAGGCAAATAAATCCTGCACATGTCTTAAACTGTGATTATAGAAATACATTTGTAACGTTTTCACTTTACATTTTATTAATGATCTTAATGTACCTAATAATAACTAATGTAGATAATGACATTTATTAAAAAACGATTGAAAAAGTAATTCATATTTTTGCTATTATAAAGTAGGTAAGATTGGTTGCATATTTTAAGGGGCATTTGAGCTGTACCATAGAGTAAATTTTAAATATTATTTACTCTGTGGCTGTACCTTTTAGAATTGAATATATGAGTTTTAACTGCAGGCATTGAATAAAAAATTAAAAACCACAGTTCAATGGTGCAGGAGACTGAAGATTTGAATGTTCAGAGTTAAAATTTACGCACTGTATATCGAAATATCATTGTATACATATACCATGCGATCAAAAATGAGTTGCTGTCGAGTAACCTTTGGAATTTTTGTTTACGTGGAAAATCGTACTTAACCTGAACTTCCAAAGGGGACTCGACAGCAACTCAATTTTGATTGCCAGTTATACAATGGTAATTGAGTAATCACGGAATGCGAGATACAGACAGAAAGAGAAAGTTAAGAGCATTTAATCATTTCAGGGTCTTGAAACACATTTGGAAGCTTGTGTAAGTTTCAAGAGTCTCATAGCAAGTACCTATTCTACTCTACTCTAGAGCAATTAAACTTATTTGGCAGTCAATACGCTTTTTCAAAAATGCTTAAGTCTCAATAGTTTATTAACCTTTGTAGTGTACTTAACCCCAGGTTCTACGCTAACTTCACACTACAAGAACACGGAAATAAAGTCAACCCGGCAACGTTTAAAAATGACCAAAACTAAACAAGATGCCGCTTAAATTTTAAAAGTGGCACGTGATAAAACATCTAAGGCAGGGCCTCCTTACATTAGTTGTAGACAACGCTATGACCTGAAGCACAGTAGGGAAGGAACGTAAAATAAAACACTGAAATTGTGAAAAGTTTGTTTAATAATTATCGTGGTTATTATGATTGTAAAAGCTCGGAAATTTAAGTCCAAAATAAATTACATTGCAAAAATAAACTTTGAAAATGGTAGTTCACCGAACCAAAATAGAATAGGCTGGGAAAAATAGGAACTTACCAATAAAAAAACCAGCCGTCAAATTAATATCAAATTGTGTTGTAAAATTAATTGTTTGTAATGATGTGAATGCGTAATATAAAATTATAACACCACAAAAAGTAGTAGGTACATACATCAAACGAATCGGTAATTTCCACATATTAAAATAAAATGAAAACTTATATGAATGTTACTTCAGGGACAAGACCAAGTGATCAACATCAATAAACATATAAATTAAGCAAGCATTGCCCCAAAAACGTAAACAATTACAAACAATAGCACAACGGTACCACATATGTGATTCTGCGGTTAAACCAAGTAAATGTCAAAAACAAAGATTGAAATTTGAAACACAAAAAATATAAAATGCGGCACACAAAACAAATACGATATAAAGAAATGCAAAAATTACTACCTACCTGCATTAAATAATACAAAATAACAACAAACATTTATGGAGCGACGCGTTCATGACCGCCATTCAAGAGAAGATGCCAAGCGTAACTCCCGTTCGTGCTTTCTAGATGGCGCAGGCAGCTTTTCCCCACTAAAGTCACTAAATACAGAAAGTACCGCAATCCATTAGGCTCGTGTGTTAGAGAGAGAACGCATGATTTTTGCCCAAAAATGGCGGAAATTACCAGATTCTAGTAACTTTAATGTTAGGGATTGTTCCACCTGTTTGGAGATATCTGTATATATTTTTATAAAACATGACAGTACTATAAAGTTAGGTTATAAAAAATGACAGCTATTCAGATTTTATTTGTCAATTTTTTTAAGTTGGCAGCAAATTTGCCCAAAAATGGCTGATGATTGCGGTACTTTCTATATCTAGTGACTTTATTCCCCACTAAAGTCACTATCTAGTAACTTTATTCCCCACCTAGAAATTGCATGGTTGCCAACTTTCAAAAACGTGTGCATCGTCGTAACTTGTATATACAGGGTGGAACCTCTCACCTTTAAGGTTCTTTAAGATTTTTCTAGAGTTTTACCACAGAGTAATCATAATTTTGATTTTACAAAGTATTACACGATCTTTTAGAAACTTTGGTAGCTGCTAAGAGGTTTTATTAAAGAGTACTTGGGTACTCTAATAGTTTTATGAGTCCTTAAAAGTGCTAAAAAGCTTTTATAGGAGCTTTAAGCGCATTCAAAACATTTACGGACTGTTACTTACAGCCCGGTTACAGGTCAGAGCTTTTAAAATGGTATATTAAGAGACAAGTGTATAATCATTAATCACGTCTTTAAAGCAATGAGTTTAGTGCCGCGTCGCACCTTTAAACATTACAAATTATGGTTGCTACCTCAGAGCATTGAATAAAAATTTATTCAATGCTCAGAGTAAGAACCTAAAGACTATGAAAGAAAGGTAAGACTGGCTTTAGTCGCCTCATACGATTGCGGTATGGTGATTCTGTTCCGCCCCCACACGGGGTAATACATGTACATCTTGAAAAAAATGTGGACCATTTAAAGTACCGTTACACACCCTCCCCCATATATTCAAAATTGATTGTTTTTAGTAGGTACTTTATTTCCGGAACAAAATCTTATAAATGAGGGGGTATAACTTCACATGTGTTAAAATTACAGACTGTTCAAAGCTTCGGAATTGCTTAACAACACGCGCTCGGCATTTGTAGTTGATATGGTACTAAATTCTTGCCACAAAATGGCTATAAACTGCCGTTTTGATGTCGCTGCGGTTGGGGTTCGGATTTAAATTTTGCGGATCCCATCTTCCACTATATAATCTTTGTCATCCCGAAGTACTCGTGTAAAATTCTAAAAATCGTGGTTTCTGAAACTTCTAGCGAACCTGCTAATTGTCGCTTTTTTAGTCTTGCATCCTCCAGTACCACTTGGCCTTTTATTTATTTATTTATTTATTGTCCCTCTTGTTCTAGGCCCTCAACAGGCTTACGCCCAATTACAGAGTGACCCGCATAATGCTTTTTCATGTCTGAAGGGACCACCTCAACCGGGCGCCCTAAACGGGGATTATCATCCACTGGCTCTCGACTATCAATTTTGACCACTCGCAAATAGTTGACTTAGCAGGGTAATCATCCCCGTATATAGGCAACATTTTTTCAAAATTAATTTTTGGTTTTCCTTGTTTTGAACGGACTTTATTATAACAGGTCGGTATTCGATTTTATTCATTTCGATACATGTACCACACGCGACGAGCCGACGACACAAACTGACAGATAATAAAATTAATAAACTGCACCAATATTATACAACACTTTCGGCTGACGAGTATTACCCAAAATTGAATCAGTTAGTCCCTTTGACCATTGTCTACCTATTACTGAAAACAGAATTGGAAAATTCATCATGTACCTACACAGACGGACATTCGGACAGAAAGTCCAAAATCATGAACTCGCTTTTTGTCGTTTGTGAATAATGTTGCAAAACTGTTTTGTAAATGGCCACACAAGTTACGAAGGCATATGTGATTATAATCAACAGTCACCACAATGAAACATTGCGTCAAAACTCAATACCGCCCAGTCAGGGAAGATAAAAACGACCCCTCGTAAGTTAGCGTCTTTATCAGGTACAGGATATAAACTACAATAATCTCTTTGAATTGCTCAATTACAGATCTCGATGCGCGAACATCATTAAATATGCACACTTGATGATATTCTTCGCAACATCCGGATCATGGGGTATTTATGTTGTAAGTCGGGGCGGTTGATTTGATCCAGTTCCGAATCTGATCTTGAAAATGTTTGGGAGAGTGTGAATGTGGGGAGTGGACGGGAATTTCATGTTTATTTCGTTTTTCGGACAGGGGGACAATTCTGTCGAAGAAGTTTTCGATCTATTCGTCTTGGCGTAGATTCGAGTGTTTCTTCAGGAGCAAGGATTCAGGTAGAAGACTGCAGGGACGTAATGCGTTTCCGATATAAGTTTTTGGCACATAATGTAATTCTCTAGGTTTTGTATTGATGTAAAACTTGGCGCCTTTTGTTGACAACATTGTCGCAATTGCTTTCCTCCAAAAGAAATGGCATTTCTGATAAGGATAACCGCTCATTAACGAAGCTGTCCTTGATCAATTTTTAGGTATGTAGGTATGATTTTTTGGTAGCGTTGATTATACCTTCCAGCATTGAATAAAATATTCAATGGTTCCAGTGAACAGCAAAAGGAATACATGACTTTGGTTGGTATCTGATTGTTCCCAGGTTCTTTCTTGCAGAGACGATTAGTTGCATGAGCAACCCATCGAATTTGTTGCATATCGGAACTGAACTGTAATCCTAAAGTCGACGGTTTTAGCATATCATTTCGCAAAACGAAAGTGTGATTCCATCTTTTTTCATAATTAAATGCAATTATTCTCATATAGAAGCCATTTGTTTAATTAAGAAACATTGTCTGCTAAAGAAACAATCGAAGGAAAATTCACATGGAGAGCACAGTTGAGTCCAAGGTAGTGCAAAAGCACTATGAGAGAATCGCGATAAAGGCGTTTTAGTTTCGCTCTTGTTGACAAATAAGGCGATAAGACTAAAACATGCGCAAATGAAGATAGATAGTAAACATTAACATTTGTACCGGAGATCATTATAGAGCAGACTGTCTCAGATACCTGCCGTTTAGTAAATGTCGTTATCAGTTTTTAAGTACCGCGAGGATGAGGTAACGAAATAGTGCCGCGGCATTAAAACGGTTCAAACAAGTTACAACCGTGAAGGTGCACGGTTGATGGTTGGTACTCGCGCGAATAAACGTTTTTACGTTAGGTTTTATGCACAATTTTCGCACGTGTCAATTGAAGAGTGACGGTTGCGGAAGATTGTTCTAGGGGTACGAATTAATTGTAACGCGTTCGTATCAATTAGTTTCCCGTTCGCGAGTTTTTCGAAAAAGTCGAAAGTGATGCGCGAAAAGTGGAATAAAAAGGATGTTTCCCAGCAGACCGAAGGTCAACCGGTGAGAATTAATTTTTAAATTACCTGTTTGTGTATCTCGAAATTATATTGTTATGGCCGGTACGAGTCGAGTGTGTGTAATTTTGACCATTGTGAATTATATAATGGTTTGTTTTAAATACTTAGAGAAGAAGGTTCTAATTGACATAAATTAATACCGCTCGAAGAGTAAATTAGTGACTCTTTCTTTATATTTAGCCTTAAACGTTATAAATGTGTTAAACGAACAAAGTTCATTGCTCAAATTGATATGACATTATAGAGATTACCGTATCAATTTATTTGCCTTTTCTATAATAGTCATAGCAAATTTTTCGGTCACGTACAGTTTTTGAGGCGTGAAAACGAGCGCACGTCACGCATAAAATATTCGATGAAACTCCCATAAAATATTGGAAAATACGCTTCCTTAAGAAATGATACGAGTCATCTATGCGTGAGTTGCCTGATTTTAATAAACTAAACACGGTCCTGAAGAAATTAAAGCCTCCATGTCCTTCCGATTCAAGCGGCAACTTAGCTAAGAAACCGATGCGATAGAGAATTCAAAAACTTCTGTCAAGACAGACAGACAGAAACTCATAAACTTTTCGCTTCTTAGTATTCTGACCTCAGACTTTGTTTCTAATTCAATATTTTCCTCGATATTTTCAGAGCATGATAATAATCTAATGGATTATGGAATTATACATTGGTCGCCAATGCATTTTTGTTCATTATGCTGTACCTATAAACATGTCACAACCTTCATATCAATAAGTCAATAACTGCAGGTAACGGACTTGCAATCGAGATAGTTTATTATCTCATATCTCCAACAAAACTTTTGCATAAATATTGAATTGCTCTCCAAAAGTAGCGAATGCAATCTAAAAGGAGTTTTGAACGAGACTGTTCTCAGAATATTCAGATTTGAACGAGGATGATGGGTGGTTGGGTTGGGCCCGGAATCGATTGCTTTGTGAATCATTATTATTATTATAACGGGCGATCTTTGAAAGTTCAAGTTAAATACGATTTCACATGTAAACAAAAGTTCCAAGGGTGACTCCGGTGACTCGACAGCAACTCATTTTTGATCGCACAGTATTAAAGAATAATTAGAGCACTTTTGAATTTTGTTTCTATTTTACTTATCTTATTTTTAATATTTTTATTTCTTTTCTGTGATTCATTGTCGATTAAGTGGAATCATTATGGGTTAGATGCAAGAGCAGGGGTAGACTTTCTACTCTTGAATCTCGCCCTAGGCAATGTATTTTTCGTGGCTAACCAAAACAAAATCAATAAAGATTATTATTATTATTATTATTTGAAGTTTTCACAGTACCTAGTCCCAGAAATTAACTAGCGCAGCAGTACCTATCACGAACTTTAGTTCAGATTCATCGAGAGATTCATCGAAATGGCTAATTTAGGGAATAGACGTTGATTATCGCAGTAGGTATCCGGGTATCCAGTGTCATAGTGTAGGACTGTAGGTAATAATGGTAATATTCTTTACACTAATAGGTACTTAATACCGAGCTTAATACAGAGTGAGCAACAAAGATTGAAGCGTGCCGCTTCAGCTAAATTGGCAATGTGCCGCTCATAGCATATGCTGATTTGATACAAGATACGAAATACGAATAGACGCACGTCACTGTGACAGCGCAGAACGTCATTTTCGTATACAACTTCATACAAAGAAGGTAGTTTTGATATTAATAGGAACAAGCGGTGATGACGCACGCTTCAATCATTGTTGCTCACACTGTACTATGCCAGTGTACACTGTAGTATATGTCTGAAGGATATCGGACCGCAGATACCCGAGGATGTTCGTGGATATCCAAGGATGTCTGCGCGTTTATCCCAGGACGTTTGTGGATAACTGAGGAGATGCGGTGAATATATGCAGATATTCAAAGATGTTTGAGTATATTCATAGACCATATAGCCTCCCCGGCATTATGCAGTATGTCAAAAAGAATTTGGAGGTAGAAAGGGACCAAAGCATGCGTATTCCAAATAACCCAAAACTGTAAAACTTGGTGCAAAGTGTATCGTTTGGAACCTGTAATGTAGGTAACCTTTAATAAAGCTATAGGTTTTATTCCATTTTAATTATTCAACATCATCGTACACGAGTGACAAATTAAACATACAAAAATAAAACTGAATACCAAACGATTTTTTTTGTTTCGGGCAACAGTCTGCACCCTCGGGATTAAAACACACACTTTAGTCCCTTGGTATATTACATACTATTTATTATACCTAAATCATAATCTCCGTTTTAAACACTCAAATGCATGCGAAAAAAGGCCTTCACACGTGCTTTAAATTTGCTAAGTAATGATACTTCAAGTATGACTTTTGAAACTGTCATCTGGGGTTGAAATAAAAAATCTTCTTAGGTGGCTTTCTATAAATGCAGAACATTTCTTTGGCTTGTACCTATCCTTTGGTTGAAGCTTTCACAAACGCGCGTAATTTAGGGTATGCTTCCAAATCTGTTCCACTTTTTAATCTTAGCATTGTTTGAAGTTTTGAATGAATGCACCAAAAGATAAATATTTAAACACCTTTGACATTTCCTTCATATAAGCCAGCATTATCGATGCATTTAAGACTTTATTCGTAAGTAACTTCCTATTAATCCATGGAAACAAATTTTCATATTCTTTATAATAGGCTTTACTGGATTTGGATTTTACACCTACCAACGTTTGTTTAGATTTTACAACAAGCGATTTAATGGACGGTGTCAACGGAAGTCGTTTTATTCACAAAGACAATGATTTTTATAAGCAAACGTCAAGTGACATTTCCATGGCAATCGTGAAATTAAGAACACCCAGCCCATGGTACAATAAGACCCAGCCCACTTAATTAGACATGTATTCGAGTATAACGTTAATAAATAACAATAATGTTCATTGTATTTCCTATTTTTAAATTATACTGCAGGTATAATAAAAAAATTATAATAATGTATAATTGGTCTTTAAAGCACTGGCAACGTTAAAGTCACTCCGCTTCGCGTCGTGCCATTAAACTCGTTGCGCGTGCTTCAAAGACTTGATTATACACTTGTAGCTTAATATACTATTTTGATCCGTATCAGTTTTCCTTTTATTCGAGTACATACAAAATTTCATTTAAATATCTTAACAAATGAGAAAAACCGACTGCGCATGTGCAAAACAACTTTTTTGATTCGGCATAAGTTTTACTTTTGTTCGAGGTGCCTACATACAAAATTTCCATTAAATATTGTAACAAATAAAAAAATGGGATTGAGCAATTATAAAAGGTGTAATGCGCATGCGCAATATTTTTTTGCATCTGCATAATTGCCTGAAGTTTAAGAAATAAATAGAAACACAGAAAACCGGACATTATCATATGTTCTTTGTAACAAGAGTTATAAGAGAAACCCTTTTTGGAGGTTTGGGCAGTTTTTGGGCGGTAATTTTTTGGTCCGTTAGTCTACGTAGCCAAAAAACAATAGCAACCATTCATATATCCCGAAGAACATGTGTATCAATTTGCAAAGCGATCGGATGTTTCTACACATAGTTATCGTGCACACGGACAGACAGACGGACGGACGGACAAACAGCCGGACGGACAGACAGACAGCAATACAAAATTATAAACGATCTCGAGGATACCCTACTACGCCTCTGAAATTTCCGAATTAATATTTGAAAAAGGAGGAGCCTCCTTGTTTAGCGTCAGCATGCATATGTTACGCACAAATATCGAAAACGCTCAATGAGCAAAAATAACGTACACAACGCTTTGTGGTCGAAGCTGAATGACCAAACACCGAAATTAAATATTTATGTGTTATGGTCGTTAACTTATGACCACAACGCTTGTGGTCCTTTTAGAAGCGACCACAACGCGTTTTCTCGTTTGAAGAATGACCATAATACATTGAATTATTTATTAAATGACAACATATTTAAAAAATATACTTAATGCATTTTGAAAATAACGTCATGTAGATGATATTTTAGTCTAAAGACCACAAATTATGACGGGACATCCTGTATATCCGGTATATGACAACATTTCAATTTATTAAGTGTAAATCGGGGGATTACCTATGAATAAGCACAGAGATGATTTTATTTGAATTTGAATTTCCGTATTTGTTGTTCGTTTTAGAATTGTTTGTAATTGTGTACAACACCGCACGTACCCTCGTGCGAGTGATGTGCCGACTCGATTTTATCGCTGCTCTTATGCTCTAATGCAAAAAGAGTAGACCAGGGAGCCTATTTCATAAAGCTACTGTGCAAATTTTTACTTTTCACTTTGCATTTGTATTATTTTGAAGTGCAAATATTATTATTATACAGGGTGGTAATTTGAAAACTTACCACCCCCCATGTCTTAGTAAATAAACGAGATATTTAAAAAAAATCAAAATCCGTTTCGGTAATTCGGAGGGGGAATCACAATGACATAGTTGGCGACGCACCCCCTCCAACCCTCTGCGCCCCAGCCATATTCGAGCCGGATAGGGACGTTGTTTTAGTGTTCGCCTCGGTGTTCGCGTTGGGTGAACTTTTTGTTATTTTGTCGCTTTTCGCTTTTGTAAATACATTTCGCTATGCCTAACACTCGTAAAGAAAGTGATGTGAGTGCTACTCCCGCCTATATCGCTTTACATTCTTTACGCTATTTTTATTCGGGCGTAGTGTGTCATTATTATAATAAAGCGTGAAGAAGCAAGTTAACAAAAGTTTTGTGAGAAGTCACCTGCAACTCGTTATTTTATTCATTAAGTTAATGTTTGTCATCAAGTAGTTTTGTGTGTTAAATAAAAGTGAAGTTCAGAATCTGTCAGCGTTTGTGTGTGAAGTTATGTGCACCTTGTAATCGGAAATCGTTGTACGACCAGATTCATAAGAGAAAAAAAACTGTTAGTAATTTAAGATTTTTAATATGTTTAAGTATCGACCGTATGAGTGCGGGGTAATTTGTCCAAACAAGCTTTGT